CCGGCACCAAATATGTTCCAATACAAATAAAACAAAAACTCAAACTTAATTAGGAGCAACAAAAAATCATAAATATTAGTAATCAACATCTGTAATATATTATATGAATATTGATATATAACTTATATGAATTTTGCGGAGTTTGATAGTCATTGATATGAAAACTACGTACGTCGTCTCATCCTCGAGACTTTCCTTAAAACATAAGAGAAGAAATGCAACACTCACCACCCTCAGGCTCAAACCAAGCACTTAAAAAACATCATTCTGCACACTCGGAAATCCAAGATCGGCACTAATTTCAACATGTTAAATCTGTAAACTTTCTTTAAAATAGGTAGATCAAGTCGGAATGAGGGTAGAGAGGGGTTATAATTTGTAATTCCATTGCTATTTGGTTATACACACACACACATATAAATATCTCAACCTCATAATAACTATATCCTTACAAAAATTACTTTATTTACATACCACCTTAGGTTGTAACCCCTCTGAACCGACTTAACCAGACACACCGGAAATTATACAGTTGACGAGTACGACAGAAGGTTAGACTAAGTTTGTAGAACAAATTCAAATTAAAGATTCGGTCAATTGATCTTCCGCACAATCCCTCTAAACTTCGGTTTAAAACTTTGCTAACCCTAGAATTGTGTTAATTCGACAAAGCTAATAAACTTTACATATAATATCATCGACAACCTAGAAAAATTTACAAAAAAAACTTTACATATAATAAACTTAGAATCTTACATAAAATCCGCTTATTTAAAACACAAATGGATCCGCGAATCAAAATGGATTACGCACGCATAAACAGATATCTAACAAAAGTACATCAAACTACTTTCGGGTTTCCTAGACATCCGAATCTAGCTCCCCTAAATCTCCCGTCTAAGGGTTTTGCAGAACATATAGAGTCACCGAGTAATAATATTTGTATATTTTAATTGTAAACCGAATTTAACCGAAAGTCAATCATAGTAACATAATTTCAGAGTCAATATTCTATAGACTTTTTTTTTAAGGTCTAATCTTTAAGTAACTTCAAGTGACATTAATTATTTGCAAGCCTCAATGATTTGAAACTATAATTTTCAAAAAAAAACAATGTTTTGAAAATCGGACCGGATCGGGGGTCGGACCGGGTTCGACCGCGAACCGGCCGGCTAGTCGGATTGGGTTGACGCGGGTTTGAG